TTAATTTATTTGGCTACCTTGATTAATAATAAAACATACCCATATGTATCATAGTATTAAATTTAGGTATGCTTTTAAAAACATTATACTTAATAAGCATTATTTTAGTCTTCATAACTTTTCATGGTACTGGTTTGTTATATCCCCACCAGCATGTGAAAACGTTATCGCCCCGCCACTCCAGTTTATTATCTAGAAACAATTCGGCATTCATAATAATAATAAATGGTATATAGGTAGATAAGTGACAATAATTAATTTTTTAATATGTACCTATATTGTATAATAATAATAATAATAACAAGTAGTACCTATATAAGTTATAGTAATTTATTTTTTAATTTGTACAATACCTAATAATACCTAATCGTATTTTTTAAAAAAAGAAGTACCTAGCTATTAGTTATTATAAATATAAATTAGGTTATTGGTATAGTAATAATAATCATTCAAACATAATTAAGATGGAGGCTACATTTTTCCATAAAAATTACTTATGGTACCTCTATAGGTAATGATGGTACGTTTTTTTCCCAGTTTTTTTTAACTGTTAGAACTGTTTTCATAGTCAATTCTTAAGAATAAGTATTACTAGCTATACTTACATATACTTTTGACACAAATGAGATTCATATACTAGACTGGCTTAAGAAAAGAAAAAGTACCTATTACTGAAATTAAGGTTGGTCGAAACTCGAGTAAATTTTTTTTTTTTATCAAAATTAGCTTAAGCAATACTTATTCTTTAGCACCGACTATGAATACAGCTCTTAGATTATTAACATGATATATATATTATTTGGAGGGCAGTAAGATAACAAACCTGAGTGTCAGGGCGATAGTCTTCACACACCGGGTGGGGATATAACAAACCCGAGCAACCTATACTCTGTTCAACGAGAGAATGCACAGATTTTGTCACATGTAGACTGACGACCGACAGCTTGTCGAGGCTTTGTTTACCCCTCCAAGAACCCCAATTGTGACCAACACTATATTATGTGAGCGCACACGCGCAACCGATTCTCTCCAACCTCCGACAATTAAGGTAATCGGCCATGGCGGGCATTCTAGTACCCTTTTCATATTATTTATAAGAAAAATTAAATGTTTAATCTTACACCTATACTCTGTTCAAAATGAGATCAGTACGGGGCGGCCAAGTTGTGCACATGGGTGTGGCTTCGTCAGAACTTAGCGCGCCGCCATAGTGGGGACAGCGTCTGATCGTCACAACACGGAACAAAAACTGGTCGTCGCCCGGTACTGACCTAATTTTGTACAGAGTATAGGTATTTCATAATGTTGTTTTTTGTTTCATTAATAACATAAATTTTAGATATTATGTAGGTAAATTGTATTAATTATTTTAATACTTTCTTTTAAATTATAATACATTTGTTTATGCTGTACCTACCTCATAGGCGCAACTAGACCTGTACAAATCTCAGACCCCCAGACCCTCACTGTACATACAGGGTGTAACAGGAAGATCTGACAAAAATAAATTACGCTCCTTAAACGTATGACGAAATTTGTGATAAAAGTTATTATGTTGTAAATTAGTTTACTCAAAAAATATTCTAAAAAATAAACTACTAGACTTGGATAAATGTTTTTATTATTAAAATTGTTCTTATAATCAGATTTACGAATTGGATATTTTGAATTTTATATTATTCATGTAGCGCCAAATACTATAAATTATTTAAAAAAAACATAAAAAATATTGATTAGAACAAAAGTTATTTCATTTAGTCTTCCTGTTATAATCTGTAAATAACAATTATGTCAAATGTTTATTTATGTACTATATTTCGATATGAGTGAAACAGTAACAGATAAGAAATAAAATTATCATTATTATTTATTAAATTATATAGGTTCTATAGGTCGTCTTAATATTTGTTTAATATTATTAATAATTGAATAAACATTGATATATTTAATTCTCATTAAAAAAAACACCATAACAGTTTTTTTAACAACACAATTTAACTGAAATATTGTGGGCTATTTTACGCGTACCCACTTGTTTTAATATTACAAATTATAAACAAGGAAACAATATAAACTCGATCACATTCAAGGGCAGTCTTTTATCCTGTCAAAGATAAAGAGACATATCCTTATCCTGTATACAAAGTTATTTTATTAATTTATATGAAAATATTAGTAGGTATGATCAATGATCATAGTTGCACAAATAAGTGACCTGTTCTATACAACATTAAATTCCCTAAGCTAAAGAATATTTCATAGTATTATGTTATAGCTGGGAATGTTGGAACATAAAAATGAAATACCCACTTATTATATTCCTCAATATACAGTATGGTATAATATTTTTGTATTCATTCATTATTGATAATTTTTACTTCAAAATAATCAAAATAAAATAGATTAAGTCCTCCCCCATAGTTGCGCCAATGACCTGCCTACATTATAAATAAGTCAGAAAGATAAAAATATTTTTGTCTTCTAATTATAAACACCTTAGAATTCACTTTTCTCTATGAAAAACTAACAACTTAGTGATTCATAAACATTTTGTTATTTATTTTTAACAATTGTACCTAAGTACTAATTTTTATAAACTTATACAATGTCTTGATTTCTAGCCAAATATATTTGGATTTAATCTTATAAAAGTGGCTAATTCAATATTTTAATATTTTCTTTACACTCAATTGATATAGGTACCTAATTGTTTTATATTAATATGATTATGTCCAAATGCATAGTCAATTTATGTATCACATAAGGTATAAGACATTTTAAAAATGATTTGTAGAATCTAGCAGGCGCGTAGCTAGAAATTTCAAAGGGGGGGTGTTATTCAAACTTAAGAGGACGCTAAGACGCGTGTGTTGTCTCTGTCTTACACACGCACGACATAACAAATTGTCGTTCACTATTTTCAATAGTGAGCTGTTAGTTTTGATACTAGAGTGAATCGACATATTATCAAACTTTTAGGTAAGAACATTATCTGGGTCTTAGCTTGGGCGATTTTTCGATACTTTCACTTTTGAGAAAAATAAGTGTATGGAAATATTAAAAATGCTCATATCTCGCTTGAAAATTATTTATTATACAAACGTATTACAACTTACCCGTGAATAGATAATAGTTTAGAATAATAGTTCTCTTATATAATATTATTATCAATAAAAAAAAAATGAATACATTTTTAAATTAACTTAATGTGTCGACTTTTTGAGGCTAGTGTATCTATTATTTCGTCTGTGGTTACGACTAAATCTCGATGAATATTTGTAACAGCTAAGCCATTCGAGCGATTTTCACCAGTTGTATTTCTTAGATATGTTTTCAAGCGTCTTAATGAGGAAAAAGACGTTTCACTGCTTGCAGTTGTTACAGGTAAAGTAATCAATACTTGTAAAAGTCGATAAACAGTAGGAAATATGTCTTCGTTGCTGTCAAAGAAGGCTTCGGTAACATTTTTAGGATTTTTAGGATTTTTATTTTTTATATGTTCATACCATATTGCAAACTCACCAATTGCAGATATTTCATCAGCTTCAATATCTGAAGAATATGTCTTAAGAAGTTCTTGAAATTCGGTATCATTTTTTCATTTGCATTTATTAAACAAGTAAATTGTTTTAATAGTGATTTATGGTTCAAAAATCTGTCATTTAGTTGCTCACAGAAATAATCCAAAAAAGGTACAAAAATCAAAATCCTAAAATAGACTTCCGGTGATTCTGTTGAAATTCTAAAACGATTTGTTCGGTTTATAGCTAGTCGAGGTATTGAAATTGTAATCCCCAATGATAGTTGATACCATAGAGTAACACTCTAATGATGAAGTTGTAAACAAGTTGTAAATACTCTGCATTAAAAGATATCTTGTATCGTACATGAAACGAGTCAACGATAAACTGACACAGAATGGTCTAAAATAATAATTATCTAATTCCGTGTGCCCGTGTCCAGGTTTAAATTATAAAACATAGTACACCACGGTTGAGGGGGGGTGTTACTACACCTGTAACACCCCCCCTGGCTACGCGCCTGGAATCTAGGTTACATTTTTAAATTAATAATTTTGTAGGTAATTCCTAAACATAAATCTTAAATTAATAATAATATTTTTCATTTATAATGTAAAAAATGTGCACAGGTAGCAGGTATATACGGTAATTATAGGTGACTATCTAGTAAAAATAATGTTAGTGTTAGATAACTTATTTATTATACAGAAAACTAAGTTGACCATTATTTTGCTATTATGCTTATTGCTTTCATATCTCGCTTCATATTGTTTGTCAAATATTAACCAGTCAATGTTTAATATTTAATATTTATTTTATTTTATTTTATATATTTTGACAAGATTTACTATTATGCTGAATATGATTAATGGTATGTTTTGTTGAAAGCATGAACGATTTGTCTGACTGTATATGTTTCGTGTCTAAATGGAATTTTGTATTTAATTAACTATAATAAGTAAAATTAATAATTGTCAACTATTAAAAACATTATATCTTAGATGATTTATTGCGCGTAATTTGATAGGTACCTTAGAATATTGAAAGTGTTTTAAACTTTTTGTACAATGGCAATATGATGAAATTGTGCTCATAATTTGATGATAATCATTGGTAGTAGGTTCCTCGACTGTACTTTGATCTATTAATGAAATGGTAAGCAGTCATAGTTATGATGAGTCAATTCTCGAAACAGAAGTTCTGTATCGTTTAAAAATATCTTATCCTAATCTAATAATGTATGTGCAATCAATTTATAAATAACGGACAAAAAACACACTTGAATATGTATTTCCCGAGGTATTTCCTTACTATTATGTGATATGAGAGTTTGCTATATTTTTAAAATATTTAAATACATTTGAACATTTTTTGCAAATTTTTTCAATTAATTAATAATTTTTTTTTCAGATAAAAAATGCAGATAGAAATTAATTTTTGGTACGTACGTGTATATTAATCAACATAAAAGACAAAAAAATGGCTAGAATGTTACAAGAGAATGTTGTTACTTATAAAACGCCAGCTTTGGCACATTTATTCCATTCATTCCCACATCTAAATGTCAGTGGTCACCATGTTAACTCTGCATTTGCCCCATGGAGTGAACTTTATTTGGAAGTAAGTTACAAAAACATATTATATGTAAAGGTCATGGTTATAAAAATATGTTTGTTTCAGTCGCTTGGTATTCTGGGTTCTATTCCCTCCGTGTGGTTGATAATTACAATGTTTTTATTGTTAATTTATCTAATGACAAGATGCTGTGATCGAAAACCTCGACCAAGGCATAGTATTGTTGTGCTCAAATGGACCTTAGCAATATTTACTGTTTTATCATGGTAATGGTTGTATGTTTTTTTATTTTGTTTTCACTAAATAATCATAGTGTTTTATCTTTATATAGTGGTGCTGTTGGCGTTAGCTTATATGGTAATGACGATTTACATAATGGAGTTGTTCAATTTCTGACATCAGCTAGAGCTTTGGATGACTTAGTTATTAGTGTTAAAAATCAGGTAAGATTACAATTTCAACAGTACTGAATTAAGAAATTTTTTATGTTTATAAAAATGTATTTCCTAGACATCAGATATTGAAATATTGCTTCAAGTGAACATTCATGACAAACTAACAAATATAGGTGATATCATTGATTCACCGGTTGCAAATTTGACTGCTCGAGGACAAATTGTTACTGCTCTTAGCACTTTAGTTGGCAACGCAGCTTCAACTTTGACAAATATTCGTGGTATCAGTAATTCTTTGCGTGGAGTAAATCTGACTCCATTTATTGATGATGTGTATTTAATGGAAACAATAAGGTAGGAATATTACATAATTTATTGAATAATTTAAATATTAATCGTGTATACCTTAATTTTGTAGATGGCCATTGACAATGGGTGTTCTTAGCATTCTATTGGTATTCTGTGTTATACTTTTGTTTGGAGTAGCCAGACATTCTCGTTGTGCTTTAATCATGTATGGATTTGAAATATCTTTTTATTATATAGTAACAAGTAACAACCTATACATAATTACTAATTAGCTGTGTATTTATTATTTAATTTCAGGTTCTCTGTTTTTGGGCTGTTTGCTGTCATCATATCATGGCTTACTGCATCTATTTATTTAACTGCTGCAGTTGTAAGCAATACACATTTAAAACATTTGATTTAATAATTATTGTAATTCCTGTTTGATATTTCTACTATTTTATGGTAGGCATTGGGTGACTTTTGTATGAATCCAAATGAATGGTTGGAACGTGATTGGACTCCATCGTCTCTGCGTCCAGACACATTATCTTTCTATACAACATGTGAAGGTAGTAATAATCCAACTGGTAGTACGCGGACCAACCCATTTAGTATGGCAATACGTCAAGCATCAACTTCAGTTGATGCAACTAATTACCAGCTCGATATTGTAACACGTCTTGCTACAACTTTATATCCCCCCTCAACTACTAGAGAAGATATGCCATTACTATTACAAAAAATGAGAATGGATGTTGAAAACGCTGCTAGAATGGTATCTGCTTTACCTGCTTCACTCGAATGTCGACAAATACACGTGCAGTACAATCGAGCTTTACATGCCTCTTGTGATCTTGCTCTGTAAGTTATTCATATAAAAAAAAAATATGTGTATATATATTCAAAAATTAAATATTTATGTATGTTTACTTTGATATTGTAGATTTGGATTGGCATTAATGTTATTAGCAAGTGTAGTATCTGGGATATTCTTTACAATTTTGGTATGGCTAGATTCTCATACATGGATATACATAAGAAAGAAGTATGTTTCTAAAAATTAAATTTAACAGCGTGTACAGACAAGTATGAGCAAAGTTGAATGTTTTTGTTAGCTCTTTTTGGGCTCTTATTATACACTATGAATAAGTAATTCAAATAACTTAAATGGTGATTTACACAATGTTGATTTTTTGATAAATCCACAAATTATTGTCTAATGCTTGCTCAACAAATTACTTTTGTCTGTATGCACCTCTAGAGGTTATAGAATTGACATAATATCAATACATTTTTATTGTGTTATTACCTTTTAGGCAAGATTATGCAAAAGCAGAAGAAAGAGATCCTTTCCTGGGACGACCAGGATCCACAGCAAGCAGTTCACAATCCCATGGACATCAAATGTCTACACTTACACGAAACCAAGGGTCGTACTACTACCCGTTGTTTATTTCGCATCCGACGCCTGCTCAGCACGCTCAAAACCGCCCAGCATGACTGTCTGTGTTTTTGTTTGATTATTTTGGTATCTCATTATTTTCTTATTAGTTTATTTTTTCATGTATTCTGTTTACAAAGTAAAAAGGACAGTTTATAAAAAAATCCTATCATAAATTACATTTGACAAAATTAGTACACAGTACACACTTTCGGAATTAAAATATACATTCACCAAGAATAGTATTTAATATTTATAATTATATCTTTCTTGTGTTTAAATAACCATACTTTCTTCTGCAGTTTTTTGCAATTTAATTTTTGTTGCTAGCTTCATCTACTCTTTTTGATTTAATTCTTTCCAGCAATAATTATTGACATCGGATATTCTTACTTCTTCCTTTGAAGAAACAAAAACAATGTAATATCAAATTTAAATTAGTATTTTTCGCCTGTTTCATATTATATATTTTTACAAGTGCATGATGCCGTCATTGTATATAATAATATTGATGCTTTCTGTAATACAGTTATTTGAAAAAACAAGTGACTAGTTTCTTTTTTATTTTACAATAATTAATTGCATGTTTTATTTGTATTATTAAAAATGTTGGTAACTGTATGTATGACATGTCGCTGGTATGTTTATGTTGTAGTATTAATTAGATAAATAGCTTAGCTTTACATGTAAAAAAGAACAAAATAACACATTAACACATATAAACACTACATAACACACACCCGTAATGGATCCTAATATACTTTGAGTATAAAATATGAAGACTTCCTAAAATGAACTAAAAATATGTAGTTCTGAAATTAAAAAAAAAAAAAGTGATTACAATTATTTTAATTAGATACATATAAAAAATTGATTGATAATGAAAACAAACATTACAATCATGTTCAATTATAAAATTATTTATTTCTGTAATTTTTCTTGACTTTCATTTTTTAAACTTGATTAATTAAGAATCTTCAGCAAGTCTTCTGTTAAAGTTTGCTTTTTATTTCATTAAACATACTCAACAATTTGAAAATTGCTTTAAACTATTATCTATTCTACTTTTTCTGTATGCTAACTTTTCTTTTCTTTACAATTTTCATAACCTTTATTTTAGAGTCTGAGTGAAACGATGAATGTATTGATTTTACAATGATGTGTGTTTTTTTTTTTATTTTTTTATTTTTTTTTTTTTGTGTCTGTGTACACGATAAGTAGTCGAAATAATGCTTCGATTTTCGACTTCAGTAACTTGTTCGATTGGAAAGTGAATATCGTTGGTGCATTGGGGAGGTCAAAATTTAAAATTCCCAATAGTTTTCACAAGCGCCGGGAAAAACAACATAAAAATTAAGGAAAAACGGGAATTTTTACGCAAAATCGATTTTCCAAAAAATCGATTTTTGTTATTGGTGTAACTCTAAAACAAATGAACGTATATACATGAAATTTTCACTGGTTGTTTATATTTGCATTTTCTATACACGATAAAATTTTCAAAATATTTTGATTTATTTTGAACTGTTTAGGGACATTTTCATTTTCCATTTTTTTTTAGTTTTTTTTCTAAAAATATCAATAAAATTTTATTTGTTGGTTGCGAAAGCTTGAAAATTTAATAGAAGGCTCCTAATATGTTGTTTCAAAGGCAGATGAAAAATATTAAAAATCCTTAGTCACAATTTTTTTTTATAAGCATTTAAAGTTCAAAAAAGGTGGGTAAGTGGATGTCGCTCTGCTGTACAGTAGGTTACAAGTGAGTCACTGTATAATGGATGCTTTTAAATTTGAATTCAATGATACAATATCATTGTATAAGAAAAACGATTCTGAGCGAAGACGGTATGTCAGTCTAGGTTTAAGACAAATTAGATACATATCTATGGTATTAAAAAAAAAATTGACCTATAATAAATTCCAAATTAATCATATCACATTATCACAATATCCATTAGGTACTTATAACACGTTATACATCAACATCAATAACAAACCCTGATACTATCATAGATATATAATAGTACACTTTAGAAGTTTCAAGTAGGTACCCACGAATAATATTATATAATCACAACAAAATAACTAGGTTTTTTAATATGCAATTTCGTCCAAATTTGAACATAAAATGACTATAAAAAGAAACTGTGATTGTATATTTTTTAGATTTTTCGGTAAGAGAATTAACTACTTACGTGGAATCTTGTTTTAAATTTTCAATCCTTAGCTATAAAAACTGAACATTTTATAATTTATTAATTACGATGATTAATAATTTTCGAGATTTTTAAAAATTCTGTCAAAATTCGATGTTAAAATGCTTATAAAAAAAAATTGTGCCTATGTATTTTTAATATTTTTCAACTGATATTGTAACAATATATCAGGAGCCTTGTATTAAATTTTTACACTTTTTGGCCCAACAGATAAAACTTAATTGATATTTATAGAAAAAAAAAACTAAAAAAATTGAAAACTGAAAATGTCCGTAAACGGCTCAAAAAGAGTCAAAATATTTTCAAAATTGTATGGTGTATAGGAAATGCTAATATAAACATTCAGTGAAATTTTCATGTATCTACAGTAATTCGTTTTTTAATTACAACAAAGAAAGGAAATTGCCACATGAGAAATCGAGTGAATATCCAATGTTGTAAAAATTTGAATCTCAAACGCTCATAAAAATTTAATTTGACTTTCCGGTAGAGATTTTTTTATTGATAAAGGTAGACAATCTTATGAGTAATCTTGTATTAGATTTTCAAATCTTAGATTTAAAAAGAAAAATTTTTACGAATTCTTAACTCAAAATAATTTGCTAATTTTCGTGATTTTTCCATATTTTGTCAATTTTTGAACTTTAAATGCTTATAAAAAAAAATTGTGACTAAGGATTTTTAATATTTTTCATCTGCCTTTGAAAAAATATATTAGGAGCCTTCTATTAAATTTTCAAGCTTTCGCAACCAACAAATAAAATTTTATTGATATTTCTAGAAAAAAAACTAAAAAAAAACGAAAAATGAAAATGTCCCTAAACTGTTCAATATAAATCAAAATATTTTGAAAATGTTATCGTGTATAGAAGATGCAAATATAAACAACCAGTGAAAATTGCATGTACCTACGGTCATTTGTTTTAAAGTTACACCAAAAACCAAATTCAATTTTCTCGAAAACAGATTTTGCGTAAAAATTCCCGTTTTTCCTTAATTTTTATGTTGTTTTTCCCGGCGCTCTTGAAAACTACTGGGAAATTTAAATTTTGACCTCCCCAATGCACCAACGATATTCACTTTCCAATCGAACAAGATACTGAAGTCGAAAATCGAAGCATTATTTCGACTACTTATCGTGTACACAGACACAAAAAAAATAAATATAAAAATAAAAAAATTAAAAAAAAAACACACATCATTGTAAAATCAATACATTCATCGTTTCACTCAGAATCTAAAATTGACAAAATATGGAAAAATCACGAAAATTAGCAAATTATTTTGAGTTAAGAATTCGTAAAAATTTTTCTTTTTAAATCTAAGATTTGAAAATGAAACACAAGATTCCTTATAAGATTATCTACCTTTATCAATAAAAAAATCTCTACCGGACAGTCAAACTAAATTTTTATGAGCGTTTGAAATTCAAATTTTTACAATATTGGATTTTCACTCGATTACTCATGTAGCGATTTCCTTATTTTGTTGCAATTCAAAAACGAACAACTGTAGATACATGAAAATTTCACTGAATGTTTAAATTAGCATTTTCTATACACCATACAATTTTGAAAATATTTTGACTCCTTTTGAGCTGTTTATGGACATTTACAGCTTTCAATTTTTTTTAGTTTTTTTTTCTACAATTATCAATAAAGTTTTATCTGTTGGGCCAAAAAGTGTAAAAATTAAATACAAGGCTCCTGATATATTGTTACAATAGCAGTTGAAAAATATTAAAAATACATAGGCACAGTTTTTTTTTATAAGCATTTAAAGATCAAATTTTGACAAAATTTATCAAAATCTCGAAAATTATCAATCATTGTAATTAATAAATTATAAAATGTTCAGTTTTTATAGCTAAGGATTACAAATTCAACACAAAGGTTCTCATAAATAGTTCATACTATAACCAAAAAATCTAAAAAATATATGAACACAGTTATTTTTTACAGACATTTTAAATTCAAATTTGGACGAAATTACATATTAAAAAAACCTAGAATAACTATTTTAGTTATTTTGTTGTGATTGAATAATATTATTTGTAGGTACTTGAAACTTCTAAAGTGTACTATTATATATCTATGATAGTATCACGGTTTTCGTTGATGTATAACGCGTTATAAGTACCTAATGGATATTGTGATATGATTAATTTGGAATTCATTATAGGTCAATTTTTTTAATACCATAGATAAGTATATAATATGTCTTATACATACACTGACATACCGTCACCGCTCAGAATCGTTTTTCTTATACAATGATATTATATCATTGAATTCAAATTTAATACCATCCATTATACAGTGACCCACTTGTAACCTACTGTACAGCAGAGCGACACCCACTTGCCCACCTTTTTAATATTGGTGTTATAGGTATCTATAATTTATGTTTTTTTTATGTATATTATATTATATCTCAAAGTTTAAGACTTAAATAAGTAAAATAATAAAGTCAATTTATATAGTAAAAATGAAATAGGTTTTAAAAAAATGTATTGCTTCGCATGTAATCATTTTTTTTTTTTTTTGGTATATAAAGACAGTTATTTGTGAACATAATATTATTTTAGTTAAATGTAAATTAATTGTGGAATGTGAGATACATTTTGTTATATAGCTTTGCTATCATTGTTAATTATATAGGGTATTTCAAATGCTAGGGAATTGTAATTATTTAAATATTTGTAGTTTAAATGAATATACTAACTGTATTACTTGTTTAATTTTTAGACCACGAGACGAATACGGAATGGGTAGTGGTATAGCAACGTTAAATGGCCGTAATGGCAGTTACATGCATGAAAGCGGTCCATCCAAAGTTGGGCCACAATACGCTACTTTAAACCGTAAATTTCGCACACTCGAACATCCAGGTGCGCGTGGTGCACCCCATCCACCACCATCATTCCGCGGTGTACCAACCTATTCCAATACTCTAGGGTACAATCGCAAACCTAATCAGTCTAATGATCGTCAATACTCTACACTAAGCCGTAAATGCAAAACACTAGAATCTTCGGATTTCTACTGAAATGAACCGACCTCTGCCGATCAAACACAAATATCGACCATAAGCGGCAGTTCATTGTCAACATTTGCGAGACCTACACCTGTACCTGACACTTCCTATCAGATTACAGAATTGTAATGGTCTAGCAAGTATAAACAATTATTTTGTATGGCCTTTTAATATTATCATGCTATCATTTTGAATTTGAGCACAGATTATTGAAAATTTACAAACATTTGGGGAGGATGGATATTAAGCAATATGTGTCATCAGTTTTTTATTTATGGTTTTATAGTTTTTTAAGGTTTTGTATGTTATATCTTATTTTATTTAACTTTTAAACATTTGTTGAGTTGTTTTTTATTATGATCTTGTGTTAATTTAAAAACTTCACAAATAATTCTTTTTTATTAGCTTTACGTTTGTTTCACGTATTCTCCATTTAAATATCTTTGAGTTTAGTAATGTTTATATAATTTATGACAGTACCTTAACCCACATTTTATTTCTTTTTTTTTATAGAAGTGTAATACTTAATGTGTTCAGTTTTCTTTGAATGATAATTATAACATTGAAATCTTTAAGTGCTTAATGGTCTATCCTAAATCATGGTCTAGTCAATGATAACTGGCTCGTTTTCAATTATGTATTTGGGCCACAACAATTAAAGAAATGTCGTTTAACGTGTTTGGCAGGGGTCGTCCCAAAATCCCTAATCAGATATTTTTTTTTTTTTTACTAGTTCCTCAGTTTAAGAGATTAAGTAACCATTATAATTCTTCCTTTTTTCATATTATGTAAAACAATATTGTTATAGATAATAATAATATGTTTTTGTAAATAAATAATTAGTAACAAACATTTAGTCTTATAAAATAATTGTAATATTCACATGTCCACATTGTTTTAATTTTGATTTTAAAGTAACACATAAGCTTAATAATGTTCTTTCATTATTTACAAAATATTCCAAGAGCGATTAATTTTTTTCTATTCCAATATTTAGAAACTGCGTTCACAGATTTCATATCCTTTGTATTATATTTTATAAATAATTATAATAATTTTTTTTCATTTTTAGAGTATAAAAATATGTTATTAATAGGTGTTTTATTAAAAATTATTAAAATCATAGTTTTTTTTAAAAAAGTTACTAACAAGGTTCCACTCAAAATAATAATTCTCTATGTATTTCAAATATTTTTTTTTATTTTTGTTTGGTTATCCACTTTAAAATTGTAAGAAAACTGCGTGCGTTCTGTAAAATGAAAATTCCTATATTAACAAATCAATTGGCACCAATCCAATCATTCCACTATTTATTATTGTCAATAATATTGTGAGAAGAAATATATTTAATAAATGTAAATACCCAAATCAAAAATTATCTGCTATCCCAATATATATAATTGACATTGAGTTGTGTGCCTATGTATGGTACCAAATCACCACCAAATGTAGGTACACTGATTTACATTTTTGTTTAGGCATAGTTTATTTTTTTTCCCGTAAATGTAAACGTTATTAGTAATTTAACATTATGTCATAATGGCTCTTTATAATTTGAATTTTTAAATTTGTTGTCAATTAATATTGATTTATTTTAAAAATTGTTTTCAATGTTTACCTCATCGAAGCTCATAAAAAAAAAAAGATGTGTACCAAAACGAATGATGCACAATGTTAACGCATTTTGTACTTTTATACCACTGCTCCTATTCAATTCGAGGTTGTAATTGTTTTTTTTCTTAACTTGATAACATTTTAGACATGTATAACATTTACCTAAGACTGAACGAGACTGTTAATTTGTTTTTTTTTTTTAGTTTTACGTTATTATTTGTATTCAAAATTGCAATATTCTCGTTATGGTCATACATTCTACATACAAATTTAAATAATATTAATCCTCTAGTACAAAAAAATTAATTATTATTAATATTCTGTGTAACTAAAATATTTTTTTTTCATTATTATTATTACCTTGTTCGACCTTGACAATTTTTTGTATGTTCATATAATTTAGCTATAAAAGAAATGAATAATTAAAAACAGAAATTATACATAGATAAGTCCTATGATTTATTTTTATTTACTCTTCTATGCATGCAAAAAAGGGACCTATTAGTTATTAGTTATTACTCATCAAATGTTGGCGGCGGGCACAACAATAAATGACAATTTTTTTTTTATGAAATTTGAGAGATATTTAAATTTGATTTTGGTATAAAAAATACTAACTCAATATTTAATATTATTGTATACACTATCCATTTTTTCTAAAACTGAAACAAAATGAAACTGTTAAATTTGAATTTGAATTTTCAAGTTATACCTTTTTTAAAATATTGGGTGTGCCCCCATTTTTTAAATTGACACCCTCATAATTTATATCATGTATGCTTATTTTGTTTTTATTTTATTCTAATATTAATAATTTAAAGTCCAAACTACAAATCCATAATTAAAAATAGTTATTGAATGGGGATGTATGAGGGAACGAAGTGTGCTCATTGTGTATCTATGATCATAAGACTAACTTAAACCATAGCAGTTTCTGAAGAATTGAAAATAATTGAAATATCGTAAAAACAACCAATCCGATTGATAAACAGAAACACAGTTTATGGTTTTATTTTTAAGTTTCAGTTTGATAAAGTGAACCAATAAGTAACAATACAAAATTATGGAGGGCTGTAAGACGGAAAAATAATGCATTGGAACATAATTTGGAGTTAATGTAAGGACTAAGTAATTATAATAAACAGGGAAGGTACCTATTTCACAGAAAAATAAATATTTACAGTTACGAATAACGTATTAATTAATATATTTAATTAATTGTATAGGTTAAGTTACACCGTTGAGGGTGAATATTATATTACTTATTAGTTGGAAATAATATCTACCAAGTTTTAATCAGCCAACCAAATTTGAAATTATAACTCAAAAGTTGTGCAAATACGAAATAATGCCGAAACTTTCTAACTATAAATAAACGACGAAGACAGATTATACACCTCACTTACTGTCCTAAATACGGTGCAGTTGTTGTATAATTACGATACGAAATCTATTTACATCATATGGACATAACAATATAATTAATGAATCATTAATAATAAATCATTTATGTGTCTCTGGTTTACTTACCCAAAAGTTTTAGTTGTATATTATAACAATTGATAATGAATGTATATTTAGTATAGTCCAGGTAGATACAGAGATACTATTATGTAAGTTATTACATTAAGTATTATAATATTACCTGTATAATAATGCATTCGGTAACCACTTGATGAGTACGTGTACTTCACGAATTCGTGATTAAAACCAAAAAGTAGGTAATAAAAATAAAATATGATGATAGGTACCTATAGGTGGGCTACGACCACAGATATAAAATACCGATATAGTATTAATATTAATAATTATTAATTATATATATTAATTATTAATACAGATATAGTATTTTATATCTGTGGCTACGACACACATAGCTGCTACTCGTACTATTATTATTATCATGTTTAGGTAGGTACTTTGAGTAGCTATTGCATTACTACTAAGCTCAGTGCGTGATATTTTGTTTTTCCCCTCTTGTCAGCGTGACTCGTGAACTGGTCCGAACACCTGACACTAGGTAGGTACCTGCTATATTAACCATAAAATAATAATAGTAAAAAAAAATTGCCGAATTCAAAATGAAAATTAGGCATATGCACACCATATAACGACGCGCACACTACCTACACTACGGCTTGTTTGCATTCACGCTGAACATGTTTTACATAAAGTTGTACAATTTTGTTTGTGTTTTATTGTTTACCGTAGTGCTACCGTTACCGTCTGCCAAGTAAGAATTTTGACGTGTTTTTTCGCTATTTTTTTTTTTTTTAATTTAGCCACGTTACAATTTGCGTTGACAAATACTAATAATAATAATATAAGCAATACGCGTATTATACTGGGAGCTAATCTCCAGAGCCGTGCACTATTACAAATTTCAGTATCCGACCTGCAGCACCTAATGACATTTTTTATATTTTTTTGTTTTTGAAAAATTAAGTAGAGTAGGTAGGTAAGTACCTATTGATGGTCCGCAATTAATTGGTCGTGGGTGAAGATCGTCGTTAGTTTGTTTATTTACTCATATAATTGTGATTTATGACACGTTTTATCGCTTGTCCAGGTGTTCTATATTCAATATTGGATACTTGGATACTTGAATCTGAACTATTACCTACCCATAGGTTATAATATAATATTATGTAATATTATATTATAGGTAGGTAAATCGATTTATTTGTACGTACAAAGAATGCCTAGGTACTTATTTTCGTAGCGATTATCATTATTACATCATTTATTGCATTGACTATTGTGGATATAAAATATACATCAACAGCTACCTATAGGTATAAAATATTATGGTTTGGTTTAAGTGTTTAAATTTAAATATTTAAACTTGTATTTTTACGATTTTATTGAATTTAAACACATCAATAATTTTTAAACGAACGTCCTGTTTAATGATCTGCGTCCCGCATCCCTCAGCAAAATAAAAATTTCCCTCCAGAAATTGACTACTCACGTGTTTTTGCCCCTTTCTAGCTTTGGCATAATATTTTTTAATATTTATTTATTTTTTGAGCTGAAGTACCTAGATATAATAGACACATAATAAGACATAGACATAAAGTATTTTAGCCAATATCCTTATACCTATATATTATGTGTAGTAAATAGTAATATATAGGTCATAGCCCATAGGACACGGGGTGTGCAGACACACGGTGATGAATATAGTCGTTAGTTGTTATGGTATTATTGTATTAGTATGTTTAACGAATAACGATGTTTATTTTTTGGCCACCGTTTTCTTTTGTTTAATCAAACAGAAATGCAGCCAGACAGGGTTATCGTTAACGATGTGCCGTTTATGTCTTGAAGCAAATAATGAAATGAATAGGTAGGTTCTCAGTAAATTTCGCTTTTCTATTATTACATTTTACATAATCTGTGCACGAAAAATACATATGTATTTTTATTATTTGTTCTCAATGTTTCAACGTATATATTATATTAGTGTTATGCAGTTTGACAAATGACAGCAAACGTATGAGTTATGAATACCTCTATGTAAAGTCTAAGGCTCCAACTGTAGTGCGTGAACCTATAACATTTTTTGTCAAAACCAAATTTCTTGTTTCTTAATATTATAAAAATTAAAAAGAGGCGAAAGTTTTTTGGCACCATAAATTGATCTATTTTAGATTCTGAGCTGAGCGATGAATGATGTATTGATTTTACAATGATGTGTGCTTTTTTTTATGTTTCATAATTACCTTTTACTTTTTAGTTTTTAGATCAGTAAAAACTAAAAATACTTCGATTTTCTAGGTCAGCATCCTTTCTGCTGTAGCAAAGTGAATCTTGTTGGTTAGTTGGTATACGTTGGGTTAGGCACCTACGTCAAAAGTATAAAATTCTTAGTAGTTATCAAAAGCACCTACCCTTAGATACTTTAAATGTATACCAATGCTGGATATCACCATTTTCCAAACGTGACAAAATATTTTGACTATTGTATAGCCATGAGACATTTTTGATTTTTTTTGGTTTCTTTTCCAATTATTATGGATAAATAATATTTTGCTATGTTAATAAATTTGAAAAGTGAATACAAGGTTCCTCATACGTACTATAATACCTAGTGTAATTAAAAAAATAAGTTGAGCGTACCTATAAATCCTCAATAATTTTTTATGAATGTTTTGAAGTTTAAATGTTTTCAACATTTACGATTTTCATACTGTAAACAAAATATATAAAAATATATAAGTAAACAGTTTTTAATAGAAAGTTAGAGTTCAAATTTGGACGAAATTAAATATTTAATCCAAAAATAAAAATTTTTAGTTATTTTTTCCGTTTTTGTGATTTAAAAATATTATTCGTGGGTAGTACTTACTTGAAACTTTTAACAATGACATTTTAAAATTTTGCATTTTTTTTGTTAAAAATAAAATTTATCTACAGTATTACTAATGAGTAATGAATAATAGAAAAATAAATTACTTTAATAGAAATAATATCATAAAATATACTTGGTAATACAGACTAACAGACAGTCATCGCTCAGAATCGTTTTTTGTATAAAATTATTTTATATCATTGAATTCAAATTTAACACATCCATTTCAGTGACCCACTGACCCACATGGCCACATGACCAACTAATGAGTGGTACCCACTTGTCTACCTTTTTTATTTTTATATTTATTAATATTGCAATTAGTTTTTGCCGTTTTTGGCAAAATTTAGTTTATCTTACATTTTCGTATAACTAATAAAAATCAATTTCTAATTGCAATATGAATTTATTATTAAATACCTAGGTATATCCTTTGCTGGATTTCCTTGTGTTAAAATATGTCGGTACTCGATATTATTAATCAACTATTTTATGCGCGCGTATCGAAAGTTTCTGCGTACAGTTTACGTAGGTATAAACATTAAAAATCCAGGACTCAAGTCATAAATAGTTTATTGCCAAAACAAATCCGGGACAGTGGGACACAACTAGCTATAAATGCGTACCCAACTATGACGTATTATATAGTACAATAATAAGAGAATTAGATTAATTGTATAAGAGAATTGTATTTTGGGACCAAAATCGTATGCATCCTATATTTATGAACATAATTATATTAACTTATTACAATTATTAATTAGTTATATGGTAGTAATATATTATATTGTACTCTGTAACTATAATTTAGCAATAAAAAGTTACAATTTTTATTTGATTACTTCCGTAGTTCCGTCTAATTAACAATGGTTATATCTTCGCATGATAAATGTGGATTTTTGGCAAAATATTCATTAAATTTTTTTGTAAAAATAGCCCAGGAATTAGGATAAATAGCTTTTTCCATTTTTAATTATTTTTAAAGTACCTACATAAATGCATGTAATTGTATCTTAGCAGCTGTTTAAATACAGCTGACAACAAATATCTGGTTAGATTAAAAACGAGTATACTCTGTTCCAAAAGAGAACGGTCACTTTTCGAGCATACAACTTACGGCTAGGGCAGTGCAAAGGCCCAACATCCCCCACCTTGCTAGCAGACGTTTCTCGAAGACGTTGACGATTGCCGGCTAGAAAGGGGGAGGGGAATTTTGGCCTTTGCACTGCCGCAGTCGTCAGTTGTTTGCGCGAAAAGTGACCTTTCTCTTTTGGAACAGAGTATAGTTATTACTTTAGTAGGTAGGTATACCTACCGGTGTAAAAATAATTAAATTTTATTAGAAATCAATACTTTTCTAAGCACCTGCAATATTGAAATTGACTTTGTAAAATTGTTTAAAATTGGGTTATTTTATTTTAATTAATTTCATTTTATTTTTACGTAATTGTACCTAGCTTTGTGAAATAATTCGTAAAATATATAAAACCTGCAACCAAAAGCAACCATTAATAAACAAAAAAAAAGTTTTAATTTCCACCGTGAATCTTAAGATCCCTGTTTGACCGCCTCTTTAAAATAATAATATCAGAAAATCCTTTCTTATTGCATATCTAGATCATTAAAGGAACCACTATTCCAAATATCAAGTACGTACGTTTTGTTTTTTAAAACCAATATTCTATATTTAAATTAAATATTGCTTGATACATGGTGTCACTGTTGTATTCTTACAACCCCTTTTTCTCCCTTTGATCTTAGTGGTTGTATTTCCAAAAATCCTTTCTTAGCTGACGCCTACATCATAATAGCTATCTGTATGCCAAATTTCAGCCCAATCCGTCCGATGGTTTGAGCTGTGCGTTGATAGATCAGTCAGTCAGCTTACTGTTTTATTATATAAGATATACAGATATACTATATAGTATATAGACTAGACTATGTAATTCTTATTATTTATGTTTGTATATGCCTTAAAGCCAAGAACGGCAGAAAATATTGTTTTCGACGGATGTCTAGGAATAGGTGTACTAAGATTTAAGGGTATTATACTATTATTCTCATCACTGCAACATATGCGGTTCTATAGTCTCAGTCTCGCAGAGCTCAGCTATTTTATTCAAACCGAACGCATTTTATACATAATATAGCCTATAGGTATGTTTATTGTTTAGGCCAAACAAAACTTGCGGATCGGAGTACAACGATGAAGTATCGTCGTCGGAGAAAATACTTCGGTGGTTGACCGATCCATGTCAGTACGACAAAACAGTGGCCCCCGGAAAACTCGTCGCACACAATCCAATCGTCGTGTCCACTAGGATTCATGTCTACCATTTGACTTCTGTGTACCCGCGAAACCTGGTACGTTTAACGTTTTATTATATTTTGACGATTGGAACTTTTGGTAATATTATATTGATTTGATAAATCAAATGATCGACACATAATATTCGTAAGTATGTCTGAGTAAACCCATATGCCATAGTCTATAATACAGACTCTATATTATAATTGAACGCATTTGATTTGGAATTTGGATACAAAAGCTGCAGAGCATTTCGGTAGATTGAATTATTTAAGACTGAAGTATACCTTCGAAGTATACCTATACCCTGCATATCCACGTCAAAAGCTTAACCTGGTCTAGTTTTTTTTAAGGTAGTTAACTGCAGTTCTAAATATTGATCTAGTGTTCAGTCAGTGTCGCCGAAGTAAATGTTTATGTATGGCAGCTGCCATACATATAAACATTTGGCTGGAGTGTTCTATAGATATTATATAAATGTATAAGAAATACAGCAGCCAATTTGTGATAACTGTGGGTCAGCATATTATGATATTATGGTGACTATAAAAATATTATAATATATGTATTATTTATTAATAATATAAGTATATACTATAGACTAAAGTCCCCACTCCTATTATGTAATATTTAAGTTTTATTTTATTATTGACCCAATAAGTATGTGGCCACTAGTTTTACTTTGTTTTTTAATTTATGTCACATAACATAATAAAATGATGGTTACTTACAACATTTAAGATACGAATATAATAATAATCGATCAAATTGAATTGGATTAATAGGACTTCAAAGTACGGATACTGTTACAATTCCGGTGGAAAGACGTCCGACTGGCATTTGACAATTTAGCACCGATGGATTCTTCCGAAGTGGTGTGCCAAAAGGGTGTATTGGAGCGAATATGGTTACCGAACGTTTACATTTCCAACGAGAAACACTCACTGACGGTGGCCGACATGACCGAAGACCTGATGGTCACTGTGTTGCCGGACGGGACCGTGATGTTATCGATCAGGTGCGGTAGCTACAGCTGGGTTCTTGAAAATTTATTATTACTAATAAATTATGTTATTATACGGATTTACGTTTATAATTGTCAACCACGCGGTACCCGTGGTTTACCTGTGCCATGTTATAGGTTGAAGACATCCGTGTTCTGTTGGGTGAAGCTAGGCAGATTCCCGTTCGACCGCCAACAGTGTCATTTGATCATGGAAACCTGTAAGGGCATAATGCCACGTGTAGCCTGTTATATTATAATACGCGTATGTCGAACATACAAATATTATTATTAAATTCAGAGGTGCTAACCCCTTCCCCCCTTATTCACGACTAAGGTATAATAGATATAATTCAAAGTGATTTCAAAGTGTAGAACGGCCTTTATGTACCGGTATATCAAACACCATTTTGAAAATATTTTTTTTTTGCATTTATCAATTATCCAAGTATAAATATATTTAGTTTTGTATAACTGAGCCATATAATGTGAGGTGACGAGTAACTTTTAGGGACGTTAAAAAAACTAATTGTTCATAATATTATATTCTATAGGCTAGGTAGGTACCTACCTAGTGGCTAGTATATTTAATATTAGGAATCAGGATTTGTCAGAAGCGACTATATAATATATAATATGAAACTATGAAGTATGAACCCCGACTGTGGTCTGTGACGAACTTGGTTGCAGGGAGGTACGACACCACACAATTGGTGCTTGAATGGGAAGTAGAATCACCGGTCACCGCAGCCCTGAATGATAATTCGTGGGTGCCTTATCTGACGGAATACAAATTGCTGAAAATTATACCGCACAGCTCCGAACACTACGTCGAACCAATTTCTCTGGACCCGACTTCTAGTAAGTACCTTTGTGGCTATATACATAGATACTTATATGCATTTAATACATCTGTATTAAGTAGGCATGCATAAAGAAACTATGCTATTAGATGAAATTCGGTGGACGGTGTTGTGAAGTACCGACGCCTGTTACCGGTTCAAACTCGGTAGCTACCTATTAATTTCTAGAAAAAAAAACTTTTGTAAGATTAAGCTGATGGTTGTAAAAAAATATGTAGTTATCCAAGAGTTTAATATTATTGTGTTTTTTTATTCATTGAATTGAACCAATTAAAAATGGTTAATTGTTCATAATATTTATAGTATTCGTCATATTGACGAATGGTTAGAAATTATGGTGGATAAATAAGATTAGTAATCTAGGGTTAACCAAGCAGATTTGTCTCGTATTACAGCTTACCGTTACACATCGTTGACGTTAACGTTCCTATTAGCCAGGGAGTACGGGTTCTATATCATGGACTATTACGTGCCTGGCATATTGTTGGTGACGATTTCATGGGTGTCGTTTTGGATGGCACCCGACGCGACGCCCGCTCGTGTCGCAATCGGTACGTATTTACAAAAGAAATTCCATAAATTTAATTTGAGTGGTGACCGTGGTAATGATGTGGTATGATGTGTTTTCAGTGGCGTACACGGGTGAGTGTTCCCCTCATCACCATAATATATGTTTTGTTTCTCACTAAAATGAAAATGATCAATGCTTAAATAATTATTTTAATCTAGATAAAAATTTAATTTTTATTCAGCAATAGTAAGTATTTGTGTTGTGATAATGGGATCAAACACAAAAACAAACTTCTACGTATTCACATAAATACTCCTCCGTTACAACAACAGCTTGTCAGTGTCAGTAAAAAATACCTACCTAGTATAATGTACCTACTATACAGGATGTCCCGTGAGGATTTACTCATTGCGATATCTCCTGAAATAATGGAGATATCGTAATTATGTTTTTTTATTAAGACTCGCAGAGGTAAGCACTACAAATATTTTATTTTTTAATTAAATTAAAGTTTTTAGTAAAAAAGTTAAAAAAATTATTTTTTTATTTTTGAAAAAAATGAAGATAGCCATTCTATAGAGTATATTTTTGTGAACATTTTGAGCTTTTAACATTTTATTTTCATTAATCTCATGATTTTTAATAATTTTTTTAGTTTATTAGTAAAACGTCAATAAACTGGTTTTTGTCCGGGCGGCGAGTCCCCCTCTACGGCTAATGAGTAAATCCTCACGGGACACTCTGTATACCGTCACTGTGGCAGTTATGCGATATGCGGATTATAAATATGCCGGATAGGTTTATTATACATATAATATATTATACAATTATTGAATAATTTAAATTATGATATCTTTTATTAAATTCTGTTGACGAAAAAAAACAACACATTTAAAAATGTTAGTGTAGATAGTGGCATAGTGGGTATTAAATTATTATAATAATGCCAGTGAACGGTTTGAACTGCGTATAACCCTCTACCCCCTCCATAATTATAACATTTCCGTGTACGCCGCTAACTGTCTTACCGGTTTGCTTATGGGTATAATCATAAATCATAATGTATAATATGTTATAATATATAAATATGCATAATATAATATAACTAAGTAACCATGACACCACATATTGTAGGTACAAGCACAATGCTCACATACTTCCAGCTGGGTGTCGATACGGGATCCAAGCTACCTAATGTGTCCTATATTAGATCCAATGACTTGTGGTTTATCGTGTGTACCGCGTTCATATTTCTTTCGTTGGCTGAATTCGCGTTTGTCAACACGATATGGCGATACGGGTGAGTGTACCTATGACATAACATGATATTATATGTGTGCCAAACACAGACTTTTTCACAGAACAGGAACTGACTACAGGTACAGGAGAAGCGAATATGTTTAAGGGAGCTTAAGACTTAGATGTTTATATAAGAAAATCAGTGTTAGCAGTGGTGTATTTTGGGCTAGATCGTGGAAAGGGGTGCAGGGGTTCAAGAGAATACTATATGTCCTTTACCATGCATATATTTGATATAAGTATATAACCTTATATTTTTTTGAAAAAGGACATTTTTAAGGGTTTGGTGTCTTCAGTTCTTCACTTTGCTCCACTTATTGAAAATATCCTCTGACTTCTTCTGAATAGCCACACTGCCACAGAGTGTAAGTCATATTGATTACAAGCAATATCTCTGGTCGGAAAATGGTTTTCAAAATGCAAAGTATGAAAATCATTATATAGGTAACCAGCCACCAAGTAATGTCTTTGAACGCGGACTGCGATTTGTATGTTCACCGCAGCCTCGCGCCACTGCTCCATTCAGTCAAAAATATAATATTATAATATAATAGAAACAATATTTGTCAATTAGCTATGAAAATCCACTACGGTAAAATTTAGAAATGTCTATATCTATAATTATAATGACAAGGGATACATTATCGTGGAGGGGTGATTGTAAACTTACTTAAATACCAGTAAAAAAGAAGTAGCCCATTCGGTTCTCGTTTTTCCTAAACGGCACTATAGTATCATAAAAAGTTCGGTTCCCAAACAGCTCCCGTTTTAGAAAAAGATGAATTCCCAATCGGCTCGGGTTTTTTACAACACAAATTCCCGGAGCTTCCAAATTGTATGCCAAAAAAAATAAATATAAATTTGAATGTCCAAATTGCATGCTGTCTTTTGGAGGGGTCTGTCCGAATAAAATGACTAAATAACTTACTTTTCCACCGGAGGAACGGGCTTTTGCAGTTACATTACAATAAAATATATAAATATTATAGAATGTTAAACGGAAACGGGCAACGGAAAAGTTAAGATACGTTTTGAACACCATACATCGAATATTAATTAATAACGAAGTGAACAAAGTTTGAGTCATTTAGAGTTGATACATTTAACGGGCAACGAAGTGTACGGGATCAGCTAGTATATTATTATATTAATCATTTACCGTTACATGATTTTCATCACTGGCGGAGTTTACATGAACTCAATTTTACTTGATTTTTTTCACTGGTGGAGTTTACATGAACCCAATTTACCTGATTTTTTTCTTGGTGGAGCTTACACTAAAACATTTTACTCGTGGCCGAGTTTACATGCGCCCTCATGGAGTCCGTGGCGCTACCAACAATCCGCGTTAACTTCGAAACACAAAAACTGCGTCCTTTACTCCTATATACTGAAAAAAATCAATACCTGGTATTCTATAATTTTACACGTGTACTACAATGTAGGTACATAATAATTAATATTACATATCATGAAATACGAATCAAATAAATATCAACAAACTTTATACACTGTTACAAGTAAAAAAGTAAAGTTCGTAGACCTATTAATATTAATGGTAAAGCTATGAATTTATGATTGAATTTCTTCTTTTACGAACGACTTATTACCTAATTAGTATTTATACAGGGTGTTTTTGTACTATATACATCGTTCGATCTTATACCTGGTGATTCATTGAACATAAAACTGCACTCACTATAATTATTGTTTGTGAAAATAATTTTTTACTTACTTTTAAGTCTTTATAAAACAGCGTTTCTGAAAAAATTTTTATTTTCTATCTAGATTATCATTTTATAAGTTAAAAAAATCAAATTTAGTACTAGTAGTTAATTAGTCATCATAATAATAAGTAGGTATTTAGATTATATAAAAAAAAAACGGTTTCTCCTCAGGACAAATACTTATATAATTAGTACAATATTTACAGTAGATTTACCGAATTTCCACACTTCGTAGAAGATAACTTTATCTGTATCATTTAAATTTTTTTTAATATCAAGACTTAATAATTTTTAATAAATAAATAAATATTTTAAAAAAACAACACGTATATTCTATATGAAAGAATAATTTGGATTGTTCTCGAGTTATCAAAATAATCAAGAACTCTATGGTATACATACATTTATAATTTCTTCTAAATGTATGGTAAAAATTTGGTACCGGCGTACGGCTACTGTGAAATGTGCCTCTGTAAGTTTTTTCCCTGCAAAACCATTTTCATGGATTAATTACTGGTGGTGTGGCGTATTGTGTGGAGTTTACCCCTCAAAAGAATATAGATGCCTAGCTAATATTGGCTATTAACTACTCGAAATCCTCCGTGCGAACATCTATATAGGAATATACGTACCAAGTACGTTGTACACTTGTACCAGTTGTACCCGTATCGAATCTTTAGATAAGTTAGTTGTATTATAATTTATAGATGTAGGATGTATACACGGCAGATAGGCTACAACTCATTTGCGCACATTTACATTTTTTAAAACTCATTTGCGCACAAAAACATAACTCATTTGAGCACAATTTACGAACAATAGAAACCTTTTTCCAAGAATTTTATCCACGTATAGGGTGTACATAACCTCCGTACCACCATATTTTCGATTTGGTCAATACTGATAGTGGACAATTATTATACTCAAACAACATTTTCCTTCACCCTTTAAAAGGCTTAGGACTTTCTGTCTCATCATATTCTGATGTTATAGACTGGCGGGTTTAAAAATGTTGTTTTAGCTATTGCACATTATTCAAAATTTTGTCAAATTACAATAAATTAGGTACAATAATTTTTACAAGTCATTAAAATTTACAAATTACAATAAATTAGGTACAATCATTATTAATTTTTACAAAAGTCATTAAAATTTACAATCTATCATTTTTGATAGATAAGAACTGATGTGAAATCACGTTATGCTTTAAGACTATATAAGGCTATATTGAAGATACTCCAATAACGGGTGATCATTGATATCAATAATATTGAACGTGTAACGTGTTGGACAGCTTAAGACACCCTGTACACCCAAAACTGTACCTAAAAGCTGGTTTTCATTGTTTACTATTTTGTGCGCAAATGAGTTGTCGTAAATTTAAAAAATGTATTAATATGTGCGCAAATGAGTCTCCACCCGGCAGATACGCTACTGACCGAGATAGGTAGAATGCAAAATACAATGTATTATTAACTACGAGAAGACGTACAAATGTGCAACCGTTATTTTTTCAGTTGTCATCCCGTCAAGTTGAAAAGCAAATCCAACAAACAAATGTTTAAGTCATCGATCAAAGCGAGCAAAATGTCCAAGGGGACAGTCAATAACGACCGACGGCGACAAACCATCGCATCCGGCAGTTTGTTTCTCGACGGAATAAGGCTACAGAACAATGTAAAGTATAAATATACCTATAGTATAAACTATAAATGCATAATACACCTATAGTACAAAGAAATTTTCTTCCTTGTATATTATAGCATAATATTCCCTATACATATATAATATATATTTATATGTAATATGTATAGGATATAGGCGTATAGCCAGGGCCGGATTTAGGGGGGGCCCACGGGGCCCAGGCCCCGGGGCCCCCACAAGATTCTATTAATAAGAGGCCCCCACAAAATGATTACCTTTTTTTTTTTTCTAGTAATTTGCAAAACAATATACTATTTTTTTTTAAGTTTGAAAATTGGTGCTATTAGTGTGTGATAAAACGAATCACTAGATTGTGAGGTATTTTTTTTCCATTTATACTTAATTATAAATAGTAAATTATATTATAACTACGCAACTATACTCTGTCTAGAGAGATTGACGGTCGAGCGAGCGCCGAGCTCCTATTTCCCTCTCTTTTGGCATCGTCGTTGGACACGTGCAGCCGGTCGACGGAGCGAGCCGTCGGTCGTCGTAGCGCGCCGTCGGTCGGTGGGCCGTCGGGGTGGGCATCAAGCTTATCGCTTGTTTAATAATACATATTTTTTAGATTCAAATACACAATTTCATGTTCCTAAAAATTTAAATGATACTCGTTGGTCATGTAGAGCAGATGCCACCAAAGCATTAGTATTAGGTTATAATGAATTACTGCAGTTTAATAGTTTGGTTAATTTACGTCAAAAAGATTGTAGAAAAGAAGAATCGTGGGAATTATTTTTGTTCAGGATACTATACGAAGACAATTTAAAAGTTACCTTTCCAAATGTAGACATTGCTCTGCGTATGTACTTGGTGTTAATGGTGGCAAACAGTAGTGGAGAACGCTCGTTTTCAAAAATGAAACTAATAAAAAATAGATTAAAAACTACAATGACACAAGATCGTCTATCCAACTTAACCATTTTAAGTATCGGAAGTGATGTACTTAGGTCCTTGGACTTTGAAGATACCATCAAACAATTTTCTATTAAGAAGTCAAGAAAAGTATGTTTATTATAAATAACTTGTACATTATATTTCTTTAGTATTTTATTTTTATATTTGTATATTATAAAATAACGTTGTACCTTGAACTAATGTAGGTACTAAATATTATTTAATGTATCAAATTTTTTATTGAAAATAATTTGAAGGATTTATTTTAGTTTACATTAGCATCAAATATATTTTAATAACAACTTATTTAATGGTTTTGATGTACTAATTTAAAAAAAATAAAAAGAGATGACTTTAAAGGTTACTTGTACTTACTTATTAATTGTATTAACATTATAAAAATCTGTATTAATTATGTTCAATAAGCAAAATTGACGTGATAAGAAATTAATAGCATGATGAGAGAATAACTCATCGGTAATATAATTTTAAAGTTTTAAAGCATGTAGATCAACTAAAAAATCTTATATTTCAATCTTGTATGGGCCCTGGGGCCCCCACAACCTTAAATCCGGCCCTGCGTATAGCCGGTATAATAGGTAGGTCGGCTCGAATTGTTCTTTATTGTCGTCGTCACCATGTGGCTACGTTCGTGTATACCTACAATATTATTGTAATACCTATGCGAAATGCGTATATGTTATGATGAAAAGATTTCCAGGTGGGTTGTGACACAAGTTTTTTTTTTATAAAATATGCACGCGTTTTGCCATTCAGCGAGATTGCAGCTGTACCGTATAAAATAGATTATGTACCTATAGGTTACGTATTTTACCTTTAGGTAAAGCATTAGACCTATAAATACGCATAGCTGCAATGCTGCATAGTATGCACAATATGAATGTATGATATATTGTGCGATATGTAAAAGGTGATTCACCAAGCATGTTCGCAGTTTTTTTCATTAATTCGGTTATTTAAAATTTAATTTTCGGAATTTTTAAATATACCTACTTACTTAAAAGCCATATTCTCAAATTCTAAAAAAAATTTGTATTGCCTAAGGAGTGTCCTGTGTAAATACATACTTCTGTTTTTTAAACAAACCCCCCTCCCACAATTTCTACTATAAATTAATTTGTGGATAATTTTTAATTTTTTTGAAAATATTGACTTACCTATCAAAATCTAAATTTGAATAAGTATTTAACTAAACAAGGTTCTACGTAAATAGGTTGTATACAATTTACTTTATTCACAATAATATCATCAAATATACTTAGTAACATCATAGTCTGACTGATGACCGTCTTCGCTTAGAATCGTCTTTCTTATACAATCATTATATCATTGAATTCAAATTTAACACCATCCATTACTGCGGTGACCCACTTGTAGCGTACTGTACAACAGAGCGACACTCACTTGCCCACCTTTTTTTTTATTACATTAATAACATCTTATGTTTGTATTGAATTTTCAAATTTTTTGGCCGAGCGAATAATTTTTTATCTACAATAATATAAAAAAACTAATATACAAAATCGAAAAATTCTTATGCTTAAAAATAGCTAAAAAAAAAAAGTCAAAATATTTGGAAAATTTTTTTATTAACTTTGGTGAAAAAACAATGTTTCTACGGTAGTCGGTAGTTCGTTTTTGAGTTACACCAAAAAAACAAAATTGATTTTGTCAAAAACTAATTTTGCTTAAAAATACTCGTTTTCCCTAAATTTTTTTTTTGTTTTTCTTGACTCGTCTGAAAACTTCTTAGTATTCTTTAGTTTTGACCCTGAAATGTACAGACTAGATCTTCCTTACTACCGGAAAAGATGCTGAAGCCAAAAATGAAACCATTTTTACTGCCCCAAAATTTGATGACAGATAAAAAAAATACATCATTGGAAGATCAATACATTTATACAAAATCTTACTTTGTTATTTGGTTTTGTCTTATTATTATTCAATTTTATTCTAAATTTGTATAGATTTCTTCCAATTTTTGTGTTTTTTAATTTCAATTCCGTTGCATGCATTTTTCATTTAAAGTTACAAATTTACAATAAATATATTTTCATCAGTTATAACTTATATTACATTACTTGAAAATACAAACTGATTTACGAACTGATTACAAATCACAAAATATGTGTAGTGTAACTTAGTTACGTAACTTTTATATATTATAACTTATAAGCTGATTACTGGCCAAGCCCAAGCCCAATCCTGTAAATTGTAAACATGTACCTACAATATACAATATATTATACCTATATATTATATTACTATATTATTATTATAGTCATATTATGGGTGTGTGACTGTGGCAGTATTTCAGTACCAATCTATAAAGATTAAAGATCATACGCGTTGAGTCACTTAAGTGTATATACCAATTATGCATGTTTAAATATTACATTGCATTTATTTAAAGAGTATAATATATTATATACCTAGATACCTATAAAGTATTACTGTATATAGCTATACTATAACGTAGTACTAGTCATGTTACGTCCATAGATGACCTACAAACTAGATTACCTATTTATAGATCTAACTATATTCTATATCTATACTAGATTATAGGTTACCTCTATACATAGGCACAAATAGGAGAGTGGCTAGGGGGCTTTAGCCCCCCTTGAAGTTTCTATAGCCCCCCCAAAAACTAATGATTTCACTACTATAATTTAAAAGCATCATAAGAGTTTCAAGTATAGACCTGAGCTTCAGCCATAGGCGCACATTGGGGGTGAATTTAGGGGGTGCTGGAATAATTTATGTTACACAAAACCGAAGGGGGCTTTGCACCCACACCATCCTAAATCCTAATACTATAATAAATTGCATTGCAATTATTTTAAATTTGTATACAATTTGTAAATAGCAATGAATCAAGTGGTTATAACCTTTCATTGATATAATTACGATTTTCTATAATATGATTTCTGCTTATTGTTTAATATTTTGACGACAACTGAAACACTGAAATGTGCATTTATGCAATACTGTTTTAATCTCAAATTCGTGAACTGTTGTCTATTTGTAATGGAAAAAAAAGTCCGAACCACAATAATGTATTAATGATTGGTGAAATACTGAAATAAATTTCATAGGGAACTGGGGGTGCTAGTTTAAACCTCGGGGGTGCTAAGCACCCCCAAGCACCCCCCTATGTGTGCCTATGGCTTCAGCCCCCCCCCCAAATTTCAAACACTATTTACGCCAATGCCTCTATAATATCTTAGGTAGGTATATACGCGTGTATAATATAGTTTTTATTTTTATTTGTCCTTACATCTTTGCTTATTTATTTATTCCTAACTACCTATATTTTTTAAAAAGATCATTTCACATTTGGTCTTTAATATTATAACATAAATGTATTAGCATTGCAAATTAAAACAGTATCAGTTGTAGAATATTATAATATATAGGTATACCAGATACCTATGTGACTATATATACAATATTCAACAACTTTCTAGGTACCTACTACCTATGTGTTATACCTATACCTATACATATTATTAAAACAGAAAATGTTTCAAGTCAATTACCTACTTGTACCTAAAGAAAAAAAGAATATGATTTATATAATAATATAGGTATTTATGAGAGTGTCCTACACCCCCCCCCCCCCCCCCAACTAATTTACAACACACGTCGAGAATCGAAATGGAGATGATATTCGAGATTAAACAAGAGATTATTCCATATTATTATATTTACCTACGCATATTTCACGTGTGTAAAGTGTAAACAGTTTACTGTTTCTTAACTGTTAATCAGGTAGTAGTACACTGTACAGTATAGGTACATTATGTTACGTGTGTTTGATAAAATTAATAAAAACTTCAAAAAAATGCATAGGTAATCCACAGTTTTGTGCATTAAGTACGTAGGTCTTACTATAGCCCGTCTATTGTTTATAGGTAGTTTAAATAGGGCGTAAAGCAAGTAGGTACAAGTCGTATTATATAATACATAGAAATAATAATAGTATAATATACTATTAAGTATTAACATCAGTTGCCCCATTAAAAAGTAAGGATTACCTAGCTATGTGTAAATGCGTGATGAGTGATGACTAATATTATAAAGATGGGTAAGTATTGTATAAATCTGGTCTTTCAGATTCTTATTAGAGTGCGAAGTTATCAGTCTTACTCTACGATGACGCGTGTTTATTTTTATTTATAAGTAATTTGTTCTTTGATAAAATAAAATAAAAATACTACAATTAGGTACCTAATAATCTGTATTATAAGAAGGTTGTGAGTATATTATAACTTTATATACCTATTTATGATTTTAAAGGAAGAAATTCGAGTGTATCGATACTTACCTATTGATTCAATATTGATCGTTCAAGAAGTTAAACTTTCGGTATACCAGCGATGCGCCGATGCGTACCGACGATTCTAAGCCAATTCATAAGGTCTAAAATAAAAAGTGCAAAACTCTTACACTCTGTACGATCGGTTAAAATTAAGGTGTTTGGAAAATTAGCTGAAACCCTCCTTGAAAAATTCCTGAATACGTCACTGGTGTACCTACACTATTCTAAAGACTGAGTAAATGTTATCGATGGATGACATCTAACTGATTGACATAGGTTATACAATATACTTATACAATTATTATGAATACAACAGTAAACATTTATCTACTTCCAAAGTTCCAACACAGATACGTAAATGGTAAATATACCTACATTAAACGTTATCGATAACGAATATTAACGATACCCATGAACAACTAAATAGCAGCAAATCGGTAGGTATATCCGATAATAATACATTTTTACACTTTCCAGTATACTATACCTATAGGGCTATACTGTATAACATGGCGACACATTTTTATAATAAATATATTATGTACTATATAGAATCTATTTAGTATAGTATATTAGTATATCAATTATCATAGAACCATGCATTTCACTGCATTTGATATTCAGCCATTCAGGTTGATACAAATAAACTGAATGCAAACGTTGCGAAAAAGGTGCCACCGACCCCCGCAGAATCGTCGTGTTCTCTCGCTGGACAGAATATACTTTGGTATTTACCTACTTTTCCTTCCTTCTATAATGTAGATACACACTACACAGACACACAGAGCCTACACACAATTTTATCGATGTCACAAAATAAAGCTACCATCAATATGAATATAAATTAATTAAATATATTTTCATAAGTCGTAATAAAAAAAAATAATATGTCGAAGCGTCTGTAACTTAAATTTCCTATATTAACTATATCCGTACCAGTATTATACATTTATACATTTATACCTACATTCTACTGCACGCAGTACCTACCTTGTACTAGTTGTATTTGCTTAATATTATAAAAATATTATTAATTAATAAATAAAAATTACTACTTAATAACGATCGGTAAAATATGTTAAGGGTACCTCAGAATTGAACGTAGAATTGCCCTACACGATGGAAATGAAAGCGATGGGCAAGGTCAAATTCAAGGTATCTGAAGAGTCAGCACGTCAATTGCATGGTGGCCTAACGACTACGGCCCAACAGATTTCGATTTGGATCGACGAGAAGAGTAGAATTGTGTTCCCAGCATCGTTCATTTTATTCAACGCAGTATATTGGAGCCTGTTGTGGGTTTAACAAAATTTCAACAACCTATGGAAATGGTAGTACGGCTATTAACACCTTTAATGTTAAACGAGAATTTCAAAGGGATATTCGTTGAGTCTAGGTATGTCCGTTACAAGAAACATCCGCAGAATTCCATGAAGGACGAATGTAAATGGTAGGTAGGTATTACATACCTATAGGTACACCAATATTTTTGAATACCTTTTGCTTGAATGTAAGTTTAGCGATTTATTTTTTGTAAATTAATTTTAATTGTCGCCTATGAACTAAACAATAATATAATGTACCTACTTTATATAAATAGTACATGTAATACGATTGTGGTCTTTTAATGTCATGAATATATTTATTATTTTTTTTAATTGCTTATATGTTGTTGATGTTATTTAGACTGCACACATATATTATTTTGAGAACATTTTTTACAGACCCATCTTTACAAAATGCCTAAAAAGGAACCTAATTTAAATAATAATAATATAAACACATAAAACACACATTCAAAAATAAATTGGCTATATTGTATTAAAATAATAATGGTACAAGATTTGTACTCAGAGTAAATTGTTATATAAATACCAAAAATATTAAGTATAAAATATCATCACAAATGCTTGGTGTATGTACGAGTATTTAATTGGTATAAATCAAGAAAAAAATTATAACAAAATTGAATATATATATATTAATTAAAAACAATTAAAAAAACTATATCAAATTAAGTTTCAAAATAAAAATAGTATTGATGGAAAAAAAATATGTAAGTGTAAACGTTAAAAAAATATAATTATGCCGTGTATTTTAATCAATACAACAAAGAGCAATATTATGTACATACAAATGCTGTTTATCAATTAAAAGTTTGAACAATGCATTCACATTATGGTTTATTTTAGCATAATATTCTCATTTAAAAGGTGATATTAATCCAATATAGTGTTTGGTAGCACACATTTCACATGTAATTTCAGTACAGTATAGTATTTTAGTAGTCTTCAATAGGTTTTGACTTAAAAAAATATATAACAGAGATAAAATTAAAATTATTCAATCACTAAATGCAATTAAATGTATATTGTGTGTTTATAAATTGGCCAAACTGTTTCACAGCACACTTTTATTCAGCAAATTGGTCAGTAATAATGTATAAATTTGAGCAGTTTTTTGTGATAAAGTATTTGAATTATTCTGCATTGGGAATGTTATCACTTGCACTAAAAGGAGTACCATCATATTTTCTCAAATGTATCTGAAATAAGTAATTAGAACATAATATCATTTATGAGTATCAGTGTCGGCCCGGCACATCAAAGGCCCAGGGTTCAGTTTTTTTTTAAGAAGCCCCATTATTAACAGCCTTGGGTCCTGTAAAGAAAAATTGAGCCTAAAAATTACATACGGTTAAATATTTTGATAAATACTTTGTGGAGTCCCTACTCCCTACCAAGCAAATAAAATATTTAAGAAACCCCCAAAAAATAAAATAAAAAGGAGAGGCCCCAGCTACAATTGCGTTCCAGCGGCTATAGCCAGGCCGTCACTGATAAGTATGATACAGAAATAATATCGGCAGTATATATTTACCTGCAAGTGTAAATTAACTTCATCACTGCGACTTAGGTATGGAAAATTACCGCCAGACTTGAGTTGAGCCAGTTTAGCTTCAGGGTATTCCTGGTAAATTTTTTCTTTGATGGGCGAACCTAAGGCATAGTCATCAAATACATCCATAATGGTGACACTTTTTAAACCTCTCATCAATGATGTATTAACGCGGCTATTCAAACAGTTTATGGTCAAACGAGAAGCTAGATCAGCCTGTGACAATGACTCAATCTAAATGATAAAAGTATACCTAATTATTATTTTTTACAATATATTTATGTTCTATAATCTATATAGATAGAAGCTAATTACCAGTTCGACCATAAAATCTATTGAATCCATTATTCTTGTATCGTAAAATGTTTCCCTTGATGAAAAATTGGATAACACCATTTTCCTGAGCACCATCGCAGGTAAAATCCAAAATCTAGAAAATTAAAAAAATAAAATAAAATAATTTATCAACAATAACATAACAATGAGCCTAAAAGAAATACTAACGGAATGGTAAACTGAATTAATTTATGAGTAAGCTTTATTTTTTAGTTATTATGTTTTAAAAAATACATTAAGTGCATTAAGTTTAAGAAGAAAAAAACTAAATTTAGGGACATATATTGTATACAAACAAGAAATTAACAAATAATGCTTATTTTAGATAAAGATAAAATTAAACTTACAAAACAGCAGCATCTTTATATTTGAATATTGATGTATCAGTAAAAGAGTTGCACAAGAATAGTGATACAACTTTAGGTTGATGTACAATTGTAGAAAACTCTACAAACTTTTGAGCCAAAAATCCACCTAAGAAAAATATAAAATTACTGAAAATACATAATTTGTCTAAATGGCAAACTATAAAATCTCTACATGTTTATTTGTATTCATTTTTACTTTTAGCATCTTTTAATCTTGTTAACAATAGCAAACAGTTTCTATGCTTATCTATGCTGCTGTTATGTACATAATAAAAACCAGCCACCTGCACAAAATTGGTAACTATTATATGTTCAAAAGTGTACAAACTCGTAATTTGTTATGTAACTTTTGTTTGGACACTTAAAAAATAAATGGAAACAGAAGGTTTAAAAATGAAATCTCCTAAAAAAGGTATAGATTTAAGGAAATTTCTTATATTCTGGTTGAGGTAAGAAATATTTACATTAAATATTAATCATTAAGTATCACAGTAATTGATTATTTTCAATATAGATTTTCTCTTAATGAGGGTAGGTCAAAATAGAAATTTCAGATTTGTTAAATAAATAAACACAACAGATTGATTTTATATTTTTATTTTTTTTTAAATATTTAGGTATTTTAAACAACTGACCGACTATACTAACATACTAGCTTTTGAAACCGTTCTGTACTAATATTAAGATGTGGATAATGTAAGGAATAAGTGCGATGTTTTTAATATATTCCATAGAGTTTTTAATAATATTATATATAATTCAAGTATTCTATAATAATTATTATCAAAGTTTAATATAAATAATTATGATTTTGTTTTTGTTAAAAAAGATATTTGACTTTTTAATTTATTTTATTTTATACCAAATATTTATTGAATTTATATTAAATATTTATTAGATTTCAAATAATAATAATTTTGATTATCAAAATAAAGTATGCAATAATATTAATATTATTTTAATTAAATTGTTTAATCAGAAATTCTAATTAAAACTAGTTAAGTAGTAGTAATTTAAATACTAAAGATAAATTATTTTAATTTATTTTCTAGTTTAATAAATTAGTAGTTATATTAGTTCACACCAGGGGTATCTTTTCAGATTTTTTGAGGAAAGGAATGTGTGAAAACCATAACATAAACTTAATTTTATATTTGAAACATCTACAGTACAATAGGTTATATACTATAACAATAAATGTGTGTTTTAAAAATCATTATTAATTGTATTTTACATCACTGTACCAAGTTATTTTTGATATACTCTATTCAAAATAAGAACAGAGTATAGGTTAAATTATAGCATATTTCAATTAAGTTTTGTATCTCAGAATTATCTACTCCCTTAAATTATATCTGGAATTTGTACAAATAATATCCGAGAACTAAAAAAACAAGTGTATATGTATTTGCTTTGTATGCATTTACAAACGGTCATTTTTATAGTTCATTAATGGCAACACTTCTGAAATTTATGCTGTACATAGCATTTATGAATAATGTATACTCATTGTATAGACACTGCCACACTGGACACAATGTAATTATGCTACATCAACAAATTACAAGCTACATTGGCTGTAATGAAATAAGATGTGAAAATAATTTCTTATGCAGTAATTTCATCCATACAATATACGTAAATTATATTTTTAATTGTTTTAGTTGTATTTAGTTATCAACAATTAACTATTGTTTTCTCATGGCGTCATTCGTATTACGGTAAAATTGCACATATTTTTTCAATTACTATAATGGTTACTGTTTAGTATAGACAAATAGAGACATGAAGTCTTTTAAGCTCGTATGTTCTAAGAATTAAACACGAATATTAAAATATAATTTTCAATCATTGGACTTATAGGTATTAAAGTTTTGTTAAAAATCATATTTAGGATTATTGATCAATCTGAACAATATACAGATAAGAAACAATTAGCGTATGCTATAATTTTCAAAATTATTAACTATTTAATTACCTAATGAAGCACCAAATAAATGCACTTGCTTAATATCCATATGATCCAACAGTTGCATGAATCCCTCACACCATTCAGTTACACTCCAATAAGGTGGATTTTCAGCCTGAAAAAAATAACAAATAGGTAGTCCATTTAAGAATTTTTAATCAGTTAATATTAGTTATAAACGTATTAATACCACATACTGATATGACTCGATAGCCTTTTGAACTGAGCGTTAACAATTGTTTGAAAAAGACTTCGGCTCGTCCACTAACCGGATGCAAGAACACTAACGGGGTTTGAACTGAACGAGGACCTGTGTCATACACTCTCCATCCCTGCAATAATTGGATTTCATATAATAAAATTGTAGACAACAAATTACAGCTTAAAAGTTATAAGCACTTATCAACATTGTTGTTTGTAATTTTTAACATGATATTGGCCGATACCTGTCATTATATTAAAAGTGCAAGTGAACAAGACAAACCTGTGAAAAGCGGCCATAATGTATAGTAGTAACTAGTAGTAATAATAATGATAAATTATAGTAATAGGAAAAAGTGAAAACCTTATTCGTGCCGGTATCGTCCAATATGATTTGTTTGAGAGGCACGTTGCACCTAAAGCTCGTGTACTCCGGTGAACGGAATATTTGACTGGAGAAGCTCATCGTGTGTCGTTTTCAACAACGGTAATTATTGTTTACGTTCATCGTCACGCGTTTTGGAATAAGAAATAAGAAAGTTTTTACCAATCGGTCACAAACGCAAGCTAAGCAAAAAAAAAACAACCTGTTGCTCAACTCTATCGCGGCGGCGAGAATAACATAATAATAATAATAATAATGATAATAATAGTCGAAATTATATCTATTTTGTGGTAGAAATACGTCCTATATTTATAATATAGTGTAGTAGTAACTAGTTAGCCAAGGTGTAATAGGTGAATAAATATTATTATATACCTATAGTATATAAAAATATAAAATATACACCTTGCCACCTTGGTATCAGAATTCTCTTTTTTGTAACTATTTCACTATATTATATTTACAACGAGTGTAAAGTGAGTGGGGGAACGACTGCAATTACGATAAGAGAAAAACGTAAACAACGCGTCGTCGTGTGATAAACCATTTCCGGCGTTATCGCGTAATAATAATTATAATAGGCCCGTAAAACCCCGCCGTTTCTGAAAAGAGATTTATTGGAATAAATGAATAATAATAAACGAAATAATAATTATGTTCGTGGAATAAATGTCGACGACGACGATGACGATACAATTATTACCGTTGACTATAAAATATGTAAATTCGTGAGAAAATGCCGTACGCGAGTTGACGACTCTACCTGGAAATGGTTGTGTGCAATTTATTGTTGTTAACGTCCGTTTTCGCGCTCTCGTCACCCGATCGCTGTTGATTAGAAGACGTTTTCTATCGATAAAATATTTAAATATCCGAAGTCCAGTTTCCGCTTCAAAATTATTTTAACTCGGCAGTCCTGTACTGGTGAAACATGAACTTCGTCATCGATCTGAATAACAAGACAGCCGGCCGCGACAGAGTAGCGAGGTACTATTCGAATCGATATATACCTAGACATAAAGATTAAAGTGTATCAGTTATTACTTATTACCGCCGTCACTTGTCAGCGATTATATGCGGGTTGTGCGTTGAACGAGAGACGACCAAAAATTGTCTTGAAAACAGTTTTTAATAAAAAAATCATGTTTCATAGATTGCATCTGCATTCTTTATTTTCAACTCTTTCGAAGATGTCACCGCACTATTCTCTCTCCGGCCAACTCACAGTATTGCAAAGTTTTGTTCAGCCTTAAGTTGTTAGCTTTAGACTTTAGTATTAGAGTCAATTGACTTATTTTCAAACTCAAAGTTTAAACATTACCTGAGTTTTTGCGTTGGGTTTATTACAATGTTTATACAAGTGTATACCAATGTACTCAGTACTGTATATACAAGTCTTGAGTACTTGTATACAATTTAACGATTATATTGCTCATATCTCTCTAAAATTGAAATATTGTAAAAAGCAAACAAGCTTAACAAATCAAGGTGGATTCTGCTGAACGCGAATTTACCATGTTATTCGTGGGTTAGAGAAAGTAAAGTCATTCACTTAATATAGTTATTAATTAGTTGAATAGGCGTTTATATATTTTTAAAAGGTGTTCTTATAGTTGCTATTATAAATTTAAATGTCTAACTACTACTTCCTTTACAATATCCTCTTCTTCTGTATGGACGTGATGCGCATACAATATTTCCAGAAATTGTATGTGATATATATATATGTGTATAGACAGAAAAGTGATAATGTAATATATGTATATCATGTCAACTTCCAGTATTAGGACTGGTGAGTCTAAAACTGTCCACTTAACCCTAAGTATTATAGTGGATGCTACTACTCAAATGGGTTTTAAGCAATTTGAATGCTGTTAATTTACAAGCAAACTTCCATTACCGTGATCACTCACAAATAAATTGTTATTTTACATTTGTTGCAACTTGCAACACACAAAGTATAACATTAGCTATTATACATGTGAGGTATCTATTGTTTAAACTGGTAATAAATACCAATTATTATATTGGTAAATGCCAAATGGTATATATTATAATCGATGATGATGGCTGCTGTGATAATACTAAGATTTTGCAAGGATGGATGTATTCACAGTATATTAGGAAATGGATATTAATGGGTGTTTTTTTCAGGTTTGTACAATATGGTTCAAAAACAGCATGGCATTACATGGAAAAAAATGACTTTGACAACGAATCAATTAAAAAATTCAAACAACTCGAACAGTCCTTGGCAGCTTTTCGTAAAGGTAAATTATATTTTGCTTAATTATTTCTTTTGCCGATATGTGTAATTTCAAAAGATTTATATTATACCTTCAACTTTTCATAAGATGTCTTCTTACTACATATTAGGTATTATGTTAGTATTATATATATATATATATTAGTAAGTGTGTTTAGGTTTGGATTATAACCCGTCCAGTTCATCTTGGCCATCGGCTGACGTCACAAACTACCTTACTTTACATCATAAGATAGATCGTTATGATTGCTGTCGGCCAAGATGAACTGCACGGGTTATATTTGTAGTTATTATCACAAATTAAAATGTATTAAAATAATCAAATGTGGTAAATACAACATATTTTAAATAATAATATATACTTGACATTTTGAATTTTAACATTTTCTATAAACTTAATTGTGTATTGATTGTATGTTAGTTATTATTAATAATTACTAATAATTAATAAATCAATTGAATAATACAAAAAAGGATCTAAATTGATACATTAGTAATTACTAATTAATTACCTTTATTTAAAACTTAATTATTATTTTATTTTTTTTTACAGTATTAAGATTTGGCCGCTTTGGTGATCATTGCATACTGCATTGCGGACAGTTAATCATTCAGATAAAACTATTAGGTATTGTGTGACATTTTCAAAGATAGCTCATTCTTTGTATTTGTTTTGCGACCATTGCTTATGGTTGAATAGAAATAACTTTTTACAAATAAATGCACCAAGATGGGGTCAAGCAGGCAATAGATATTGGCTACTATCTATAATAATGAATCTTGTCAGAGATGTTGTGGAGTTGAACAATTTATTTAAAGCAATCCTGAAAAAAAAAATTCTAAACACTTTGAATAGAAAAGTAGCTCCTAAGGACGTCTTTACTGGTGAAG